CAATCTATTTCTCCTTTTCAAGTTCGAGAATCAAATTTCCCTCTGAGCCTGAACTAACCGCAGTGTCTTCCCCTCACCGTTCAGTTCCGGTTGAGCAGTGTTCAGAGCAACACTGGATTCTTCACAATCTCCTAAATTAACCTGTTAAACTTTTTCCCTGGTCTCTCTGTATTGGTTTACTGCTTTTGGGTCTGATCATAGTTAAAATCATGACACCTAGTTCATTTTAATCCCAAAGCAAGCAGCAAAGCACAATTGACACAGATATAGCAGCATGCCAAACTGTACCATTACAAAGCAGCCACAACAAGCAAGCATGTTTTTATAATTGATGTTCAAAAAAGACCTGTTATTTTCGAGAATTAAAAAAAACTATTTTGAGTCTTGTTTGAACTGATGCAGTTTGGGTGTTTTACTCACCCAATTTTCATGTAATATGTTCAAGAAACTTAGCTTTCAAATAATGTATCACACATGTAATTTGGGCTTACAGTTTCTAAGTTCTTTGCTTTTCCATTTGGATGTGCAAAATAGACGAGAATTTCCCAAAATGAGGTGGATATTAAGAGGTTAAAGCTCTTACCTATTAAGCAGCTAATTTTGCATTGGTTGCTATCCTTTAGGTCGAGTGTTATGTTACTACATTCAATACATCTACATTGGTGCTCCAGGTTTCAGATGATAATTAGTTTGAGCCTCTGTTGTCTGGTCGGTCTGGTTTAATTCAGATGGTTACAGTAGGAGTAAAACATGACAATGTTCCCAAACAAACAACATAATTAGTTTTAGATTACTTAAATTCAATTTTCTAGCTGCCTCCCAGCATCTCTCTAAGCATAAGTCTAAGTTTTCTGATAGGGTAGAGATCAGACATTATATTAATGCTGATAACTGTATTAGAACCACTAACCAGAACTGCATATGGTAAATATTTTAGTTGCTGTAGTACCGATAGCTCCCACATTATATCAAGATAAATAGGTTTCTCATGGTTGATCTCTTTTGTGACATGGTGTAACAAATTAGATTTTGCACCTACTGAGGATCAGAAGGAACTTCAGCACTAACAATAAAATCCATTTGTTCTAGATCTACACTATAGCTAAATCTGAGTCTAAGGGAACTACTTTAGCAACATATGTGAGTTTGGATAATTTGCAGTGCACTGAACCTCCTGGTGAGTGGTTAGTCACACTGACCGATAGGGCACCTTGTTACTTAGAGCACTGCTGTGCTGAAGGAAAAAACAGAAAAGAGAGAAAAGCACTTCAGTTTATCAAGACCAATTCAATCAACAAAGCCTCTGTTAGGACTTTTCTTTTTTCTCTGAGGTTTATCTTATTTATGTAATTAATTTGCTTCTCTATTGGCTGCAAAATAGTAATTAAGGTTTGTTGAGGTGTGTGTATGCTTGAGGGTAGCCTCCAATACTAATCCTGCATACAGCATATAAAAAAACATCTTCCCATTACTTAAACATGCTTATACATGTTGTTATAAGCACTAACTTTTATGCTTGGATTAGATATGATTAAACAAAACAAAACAAAATGCTGTGTCATTGTAAGTTGAAGTATTTTTCTCCAAATAATCTAGAAATCCATTTTTCTAAATAATCTAGAACACAGATCTTATTTCATGCAATAGCAGCTTTGATGGTTTTAGATATGGTTCTACCAGCATATTTAAAAGCTGGGGTTTTAATGAGAGTGTTTTTGCAAAATAGTTGAGATTAGATTTAAGATTAAATCTTAAGCAGGTTATTCTAAAACGTAAAAAAATCAACTTCCTACACCATTATATTATAACTTTGTGTTATTACTTATTTATGCCTATATTTCAGGTTGTATTTGTTAAAAAATGTTAAAAACAATTTATCCACAGTTTTGGTTTGCCTCATTAGATTTGAAAAAAAAGACATTCGAACCTAAAGACATAACATGATAAAATAAAAAAATCAAGGGATATGAATACAAATGCACTACAAAATCACACTCTCCTCATGTTTCTGTGCTTATAGCTACTGCATGTCTTCTACAGTATACCTGAATTTGGTTTCAGGCAAAGTATTTCTGAGACACCTGCTTGCTAAAACCACTTTACGTATAAATCTTACATGAGTATCTGTCCCAAATGGATCCCACACAATTTGTGATGCTTAACTTAAAAAGAAAAAAAAAAAATCCCCTGCTGACTCAGACTTCAGGCTCTGTGCGATGAGAATAAAGTGCCTCTTTCCGCACGGCTCGAGGCTTACTCTGTTAATGTGGTTCTGGCTTGAATCACTCACTTGTTGCGACGGTAGAGGGCCATGCATGCCACTCCAAGAAGACAGATCCCCGAGGCAATGCTGAAGATGGACAGCACCTGCCTCTGGTAGGTGTCACCACTCTCTGCAGAGAATAGAGAATGACATTTAGGACAATGAGCATCCGCTGTGATTCAAAGTAGACCATAACAAAAATTTAATGCATTCTAAATTATTACACCGAACACAGATATTCACCAACTTTCTGAACAAGCATAAACCGACTAATGTTGCTGTCAGTTAAATTCAAAGTTCAAACCTGTGATGAGGATATGACAGACCAAGACAAAGCTCAGTGACGTAATAACTGAGGTGTAATAATCATTTTGTTCAGAAATGAATTGCCTGCATGAGTGAAATCCTCAGTGATGGTAAATGCATGTGTGTACATCGCCTGTGTTTGTCTTCAAGCTTTCAAAGACTGATGGCGACAGGGAAGTAGTAGCAAATGAATGCTCTCAGAGCCCCCTGTCAGACCTCTACACATCAGTAGCAGTGTCCTAAGGTCAGATACAGCTGGGACAAGTGGCAGTTGATCCCAGCCAATGTCCCTCAGACTGTATAGTCAAACTGCTTACCACAGCACATAATACAAGGCTGAAACTTGTGCATGCACTGGTTTTATTAAAATGACTTATCACTGTACTGTCTAAAGATAGAAAATTACAACCATGCATAAATTTAAAGGTGATGTTTCATAAAACTACCAGCATCACCAAAGAAAAAGTGGACTTGTTGGATTTGTCGGTAATGTATAATCATCAGCACTTGAGTGCTTTTAGTGGTAATGATAAGAGACAATATAAAAAACCTTGTGTCTGATTTTGACAAACTAGCAACTGCAGATAAAGGCTCATTCACACAGCAAGATTACCATGCAAATTTTTGTCTAGTCATTCCCCTTTCGAAAGCCCCTAATATTGGGAGAATTTCTGAACCATTATTAAGTGAGATAATCCTGCTGTTTGTGGTTTCTTTAGAGTGATTGATTGGCTCATTACCTCTCAGATCGCAAAATGGGGAAATACAACATATTCATAGGCAAATACAACATTGACTTGATATCCTGTAATGTCAGATGTCCATCGAACCAAAGGTGCTCTGGAGTTTGAAATTCTAAACTTTTGCAACACAACGCTGAGTATAAATCAGAGAAGCACATCCAGGCACTTGCTGGGAAACACTGCATCAAGCCTTGATCTTTCCTCCTCCATAAAACAATGTTCCTTTGTACCAGATTGGAGCTGTGTCAGTGAACCCGTTATATCCATTTTTTTTTTTTTTTTTTGCAACATCTAATATCACATCTATAAGTAAATTATCAGTACAAACATGGAGAAATGAATATTGATTTCTATCATGTCTATGAATTACGGTATGTGTTTTGTCGTTATGCATATTATTACTTTTTTAGTGCAGTCTGTTACTGCCAAGGACAGAGTAAACTGACAAAGTCAACTGAGGGAAGCAAATCTTCATTAGTACAGATTGAGCAACTACAAACTGTACCATGAGAATAAGAAACAGCAATATTGGGACCATCAACACAACATTTGTGTAACACTTTTTTTTTTTTTTAAATATTGTATATCTGTATAGGGTATCTATGACTTGCAAAGGAACTTTTTGATAAAATTTTTTGATATCTCCAAAATATCGATGGCAAGTTGGATTTTTATTTACTCAAAGCTATATCATAAACATAGTGCTGGTATTTGATTCATGGTTTCAAAGTTAGGATGTTGTACACTTGACTTTTGGGAACAAGAAATGCAAACTGTTGTCTGTTGGTGGCTACCAGGTATTTTGTCTTTATTTTTTTAGGATGTAAAGTAATTTGGATACATCTAGTTCAGTAACAAAATAATACAATTTACACTGAAGAGTTTTACTAACAGAAATCACAAAAAGTGTATAAATTAAAACATCTATTTCCTTCAGATCTTTAGTTAGGAACATTGTGTAAGCCTTGCTGAAATCTTGTGGCTTGATTTTTACAGACTTATTGAAAGCACATACCTGTATACTGAAGCAACTCTTCCAGTATATGAGTCAAGCACTTTGTGAAGGATTTCTAGTCTGGTTTCTTTATATCTCTCACATCTATCTTTTCCTGTTCATGCTCTCCCTGTTTTCTGAGACCATAAAATCTGTTTCACTGCAGGATGTTGCTATCATTCTGTTTGCCTTTTGGGTTGGTATTAATGAGCTAGTGCTGAAAGTCTGCATTCTTCCTGACACACCACTGAGAATTCTGGCCATACAGTACAAGTTGTATTTCATCAGGTTAGTTTCAGGGCTAAAACTAATTTACATTCCTTTCATTAAAATCCCAGGTGATTGTCATGTACCTTTAGGTGAGTTATGGGCCCTGTCTGGCCACTCTACCATAAATACTTAATTGGTGGAAAACTGAGCTTGGAATGACCTTTACTATGGAGTTGCTTTCTCAACAACCCAGTGGTTGCTTATTACCGGTAAATTGTCTCAGTATTCATCTCAAATTGTTACGTTTAACTGGACAGCAGCTGCTCTCACTGGGCTGCAAATAATTATCTTTATTTCTTGCCTTTTTTCTTATACACAGACATAGCTTTTTATTATTATCCCCAAAGAGTTGTGTTACGCACTTGTGGACATCTTTAGAAGTATACAAAGGGTAAATAGCACAAAAATAAAAGAGACATGCATTTGCTTGATTATTTCTGTCTTTTAACAGCACTTCCTGACAATACATTTCCTACCCATGCAAAACCTATTTTCTTTTAAAAGATGCCATACTTGTAAGGAAATTACAAATTTAAAAAATCCTCTGTCCTTAAGGTGTAGATGGACAGCCGAGTCTTGTCCGGAGGGGGTAGTCCATTTGTGTTTGACTAAGGACATTTGTTTGATGACCAGAATGTTCACATTCTGGACAAAGAAGACAGGTGGTTTGATTTCTTCCCATTAACATTTTTAACTTTTTTTGGAATGCTATGACCTGGGTGACTGAGAATCTTCACCAGCATAGAGCTGTTAGACAGATTTTGGAGGTAAATTTGTATGAAATCTATCATTTAAGGTCAAGAATTAAGATCTTGGAGCATTAAATTCTATTTAAAAGAATGGGGAAGTAGGTTCCTAACCAGCTGCAGAATATTCTCAGATCAGCCTTTTACTTTCATTAAAGGAAATGCAATGCATTCAGACTTCTCGAGAAGTTGTGGAAAAGATTTTGGACATTCTTTAATGTGCGAAATAAGTAAAATAAGTACAGAATGTTTGTATTAAAAGGGATAATGGAGATTGAATACCTGTATAACAGTTTCCATCGGGTTTTTGATGATTCACATGACACCGTTTGTATTACCATACATTTAGTAAGGGGACTTAGTATAGTCAAATGCTTAATGCTATATGACTGATATCTACTTTCCTATGTTTTTAATGTACTTACAAACATTATGCTTTGCGGGAAATATCTATTACTCTTTTAAACTGAGGTAAAATAAAATCAGTTTGGTTATAGTTGCTTCCGTTTGTTTATACCCTCTAACATACATATCAGTTTGTAGTTTAGATTCCCATAACTTCATTATTTCACTACAATTTAAATTTACATTTTTTATTTTCTGTTTAGACCCTGTAGAGCAATTTGAAATGTCGCTGAAATGTGCATATGAATAATTTGCTTTGCGTTATGAATACAGAAGGCAACAATCATGGTTTTTTTTTTTTTTTTTTACCCCATCACAACAGAGTTGCTATGACACCCTTTATCGCATGAAATATCATCACATGCTTGACTTGCATGGCTTTAAATGTCTTATTTGAAAAAACAAACAGTGGGAGATGCCAGGGCTTAAATAACCAATTTGCATATCTGCCAGCCTGTAAACCCTTTGGGCCTTTGCCATCAGGAGAATGACCTCTCAACGGCTGCACATGTGAGACACAGGGAATGTCTTTTCCTGCTGCTGAATCATCATTGCTCATGTTGAGCAGCACCTGAGACCAACCTCTGCTTCATTTTTTTGATGGATGAAATAGGCTTTTCTCAAATCGGAACATAAAAAACAGCTGTCTGCAGAGGCCTGCTAAATGGCTCTAAGGAAAAACCCACTATGCAGTCTGTACATAAAGCCATTACAGGCCTTTCATGCTGGATGCCTACGAGGCACTCTTGAAATGAGATGCAAGAGTATGTTAGAAAACGGAGGAAAGTGAACAACTCTAGCAATACAGGCTAAACGATGTTATACTGACACAAGGATAAGACAGTCCCTTATGGCCCGTAATATGATACAACCACACTACATTTGGCTTTGATGAAACTACATAATGAAGACTGTGTTAAAGTATCCATGACAAAATGGGATATTCTGCCTGAAAAACAACAGAGTAAACTAGTGACACATGCAAAAGTGAAGAGCTTGAGTGTCATATATAAAACTTGCTTTTGCACTAATTGGGCCCTGGAAACTTGGGTACACCGACGGTTGTAATCTAGAAAAAAAAAACTGGCGTGAAAGTGTGCAATCCCTCATTTTAACTCTGTCCCATCTGTTTGGGTACACAAATTCTAGAGATGGGAAATTCGTGACACAGATGGTGACTTGGGGGAATTGAAGCTAGATTGCATCAATCTTCTTCTCAGACATGTAATTTTAACTCATACATAACTGTATAACTTATATAACATTATAACCATTAAATAAAACTATTTAAGTACCGGTAGTTAATTTAAATACACAATGATATGGTTGATGATGAATGGTTGAATGTGGGCATGAAGAGACCCGAACAGGAGATAAGTTATAGTTCTGATTTACAGGGAAACATTGCTTGGATTTGTGCTTGTTAGCAGTTTCATAAATATTTTTTGGTGTACTCCATATTTTAGGTGTTACGTACAGTTTTATGATTTTAGAGTTATAGTGTGGATTCCAGACCATGTTTTATCGAAGAGAACACTAGACTAAAAAAGGGGAAAAAAACATGAAAATCATATTTGGAGTGCTCCATATGGCTCTACATTATCATGACTTTATGTGTTGCCTTAACACATAAAACTTCCATCACAAGTTTCCAAAGATTTCCTGGTAAAGCCATGCTTTCCCGGAGCTCAAGCATTGATCTGTCTCTATTGTATTTCCTATAACAAATCTAACAACCTGCAGCAGCATTTAGAACTTCTTTAGTCTTTGTATTTAAAATCACTGAGCTGAAGAATGTTGTGCAGAGAACTGGCTTTTCTTGTTGAGCACCTTCTGATTCTATCAATTTTCTGGAGCAAGCATTGACATGACAGCTTGCTGTAGATTTACATTGGCAATACCAATGTAAATCTTTATAGCTTCGGTTTTTTTATATCAAGATGAAAGAAAAAAGGTGTACTGACAGGAAAATTGAAAAAAATCCTAATGTGTCACTATTAAAGGAAAGAGATTCTTATGACATGATTTTGATGGTCTAACTATAATAGTATTAATATAACTGTTTATAGTTTATATACATCTTAATATACATCTTTATATGCATCTTCTTTGATTAAATTTTTCTGCATTAGATATTTTTTGTCCATTTTTAGTAAAAAGCATTTTGCATTATATACGCTGATAGTAAGTCCACTGTTATCTTTTCAAATTGCAGATTAAATTAAACTTCAAACATACGGAAGATAAGTAAACATGGAACGTGGCCGTTTGTCTTAGCTCTACACTCATTAAATCATTCTTGCCCTAACAACTCTCTTCTTCATGTAGACAGAATACACCTAATTTGCCGCCACAGTGTTGCCATGGCAACTGGCCCATATTCATTTATCCAAGGTGAGCAGCCTTGTTGTGCCGAACTTTGTGTTTTGTATGAGGTATTTTGCAGATATGAAGCCCATGAAAGGCTGAGTGGGCTGCAGAAGTCAGTAGAAAGAGAAAAAATGGCTCACCCATGAACTCGATCCCAAGTTCGTCCGCTGCTCCACCAGAGGTCAGATCGTTAACAGGATGCATAAAAATGTGGAGAGAGAGTGAGAAATGAAAGATAAGAAAATATTATTACTACAAGTGAAAATAACTGCATTTAGGTAAACTTTTCCCTCCCTGCACATTATTTCAAGAATCTTCAGAGCAGTTGGGTGTTTAGCTATAACCTGTTGGCCATGGTCTGATGCACCTCCATTAAGGTTGGTAGACAGGGTATAAATGGCCATTTAAATCCATTGACGTCTTAGGTTTCTTGTCATTACTGCATTTCTATAATCTTTCTGCCTTGGAGAGCAGCTTGAAGACAATACAATAAGGAAGTCCAGCAAAGTCCACTTTAACCTGAACGTTTGTTAAATTTTAGTTTTGCAGCCAAAATGTTATGTTTTGCAACCATTTTGATACTGCATTTCATTTAACAGAACATCAAAAGCAGACATTACAACAGTCAATAATACCAAAACCTAAATATTAACAGAATAAAAATTTACATTTGTATCTTCTGCAAAACCAGAGCCTGCCCAAATCTTTAACTGCCCCAACTTACTCTCATAATACACCAAACAATCAACTGTCACACCCTACACACAGTGGAAGACTTAAATGTGTCAAAATTAAGGGACAAAGGATAAAATGGTACTTTTACTTAAGAATTTATTTTTTTTTTTTTAGTAAAGCATACCTTGCAACCCAGAATTTGTCTTATAGGCATATGCATGTGTTGTAAGCCCACTATATGATGTTTTGACTACTTTCTCCCAAATGGCTTATATTTTGCACTTTGGAAAAAGCATTAAAGCCCCAAGATGTCTGGAACACTTTAACATGATGCTTTCAAATGACCGGCTTGCAGTAGCCTCAAATGAAGACAGAAACCAAGAGAGATAAGGGGAAAAGAAGATTAGGCAAGGGATTGGGAAAATAAAAGTTAAAACTGACATATAATATGGCTTTATGCCATTGATGTCTCTTTCCACAGGCCTTTATATTGATTTGAGCCTGAGGTATTGCAGTAATTGTTTTTTCTCTTCACAAGTTGACTGCTTCTAGATGGATCAAACCAAATTACGATTACATACATGTGAATCAGCACGGCATGTAATAGTATTGCCTACTATTCTTTTTCTGCAACAGATACAGTTCCACAAACACCCTTTATCCCTATTCCCTCTGTCTCGCTCTCTCAGACACACACAGTCTTTCTTTATGCAGCTAAGTCCTGTCCCACAATCCCAGTGCTGGGGAAACAGATAAAAGTGAGCCCTCATGTTCTTCCCATCCTGACAGTTCCCCCTTTTCATGTCACTGTAATGTAATCTTATTTAAATTAAAATGAAGCCCTCACTAGTAATTGGTTTTTCCGACAGAGGTGGTCAGAGTTTTAAGTAGAGCGAAGCTTGCCAAGCCCTGGCAGATTATGTGTTGGGTATGTAAAAAGAGGCAGCAAATCAAACAGAAAAATCTGTCAGAGCGGTGAAATCTATGCATAAGACAAAAATGGATGTGACATAGTATTGTAGTGGGATTTTTAAATATCTTTTTTAAAATTGGATGCTCATATCTGAGACATGGTTATCAGAGTTACAGAACCGTAGTTATCAGAATTGACCCAAGGCATAGATGTCCTTCCAGAAACCATCACTTAGTTACTGTGGAAAATCTTTTATATCATATATTTCTTTTTGATAAGTTGAAACTACGAAACTTATATGTTAGGAAAAATTACAGATCCACCTGGAAAGCAAATTTTGTAAAAACATTTGGATTTTTATTAAAAAAATAAAAGGCTATATTGAGAACAAGAGCTTTAGCATAGGTAGTTGGGCTAATCCACCAAACTACTAAATAAGAGTACTCCTACTGGTGCTTGTCAGCTTCCACTTATCCTGGTTGCGGGAGTAGTAGTCTTAGCAGAGACTCCCAGATTTCCCTCTCTCCAGACACCTCTTCCATCTTTACTGAGGGAATCCTGAGGCGCTCCAAGGTCAGCTGAGAGACCAATTAATGCTTGGTAGTCCCCTGTGCCCGCTTATGGTGGGATATGCCGAGAAAACCTCCCAAGGTAGGCTTCCAGAGGACATTCGGAAAAGATGTCCAAGCAACCTCTTCTGACTCCTTCTGATTTGGAGGAAAAGTGGATCTACTCTGAGCCTATCATGGATGACTGAGCTTTTCCCCTGTCTAAGGGAGTGCCGAAACATGCTGCAAAGAAAACTCATCTCAGCCACTTGTATCCAGGATCTCTTTCTTTCAGTCATGATCCAGATTTCATGAATCAAAACAAAACTGAAGACATTTTTCTTGGAACAAATTAAGAGTGTATAACATTAGGCACACAGCTTCAGTTAATACAACTGGAAAAAAAAATTTCAGATAACAATCTGGATGTAGTGATGGACTCACACCTGAACCTCAAGAGGCACATTAAAACAGTAAGAAGTGTCTTAAATGAACTGATTAGTAAAGAAGGAAATCTATAGGAGTAGATAAATAGAAAAAAGAAAGATCAGTCTTAATGAAGCTATTAACAATTTTCCTTATTAACTTTAAGAGTTGTCTAATTATTTCAGCTGCATTCATCAAAATGTCAGCTTACTGTAGGTCCTAATTATACTAAAATAAGTATGGGAAATAAAACCTTAACAATAAAGATTTTCCTTTAAGAAGAAAATCAAGATATTACTGCATACCCAAGACATGACTGCATGTTTTTAGAGAATCAGATTTGGAAAAAAAGATATTATTGTCAAGTAGTGTTTCAAACATGCAAAGTTTTTGCTTTGTGATGAGTTACTACAAACAGACAAACATACCATTGACAAGAATAAATGTGTAAATATATAATTTGGAGAAAACAAATGGAAGTTATATAGAAACATCAAGAGAATAGAGAAAGTCCAAATTCCCACAGGGAAAGAAAAACATGCTAGATATTAAGAATGTACAATAACAACAATATGAAGCAAAATGAAGTAGTATTCACACATAAGGATATCTTTGTATTATTTGCCGGGGGAAAGTGTCAGTGATGGACTTGGGCCTTGTTAATGAGGCTAGCTTAAGAAGGGAAAAATCTGTTTTTGTGGTAAGAGGCTTTGGTCCTTATAGGCTGCAGATCCCACATAACAACAGCAAAAGAAAACAGGCAACTTAAGTAAATCAAGAAAAAGCATCCAGAACAGAAAATGGAAAATACTAAATGCAGTCAAGATATACTGTATGTGCAGTGAAGCCTTTATTTAACCAAATTACACAGAACTTCAGAAACATACAGGAACATTCAGGTTCTGCTAAAAAGATCTGTATCAAAAATTATTTCTTACGTTCCTCATTCAGTAGCAGATATTTCCCAAGATAGCTTGGATGCTTTCACTCGATGTGTTGCTTTAAATTATAAGTAGATGAGGCTGATGTACGGACTTTTTTGTTAAGTCCCAGTGGGCAGAGTTTGCACATAAAGGTGAGTTTTTTGCTGTTCCTTTGTTAGGTCATAAAACTCTACCATGTGCTCCCCAAAACTGCAGACATGTCATCTACTGTCTGCAACATGAATGTCGTGATGTTTGCAGTAGTGAGTGCCATAAAACCTGATGCTATCCAATGAAAAGTATGCTTATCAATTGAACGCAAACGTGATCTATGTGTATCGCTCAATATTCTCAGAGTGAATGTTGCCCTCTTTCATGTTCATTACTTCAAAGCTTATCCGTTCAGTTCAACGGTCACAAAAAACATTAATGTATCCAGTTCATGCACAACATTCAAGGCTGACCTCCAATGTGTGCTGACCGCA